TAGCTTAGAGCTGGAAACAGCCTAAGTGCTCATCAGTAGATAGATAAAAAAGCTGTGGTACATTTTTACCATGGAATACTATGCAGCAGTAAAACTTAAGGATCCCTTACCCTTTGAGACAGCATGGAGGGACCTGGAGAGTAAGTGAAATAAGCCAGTCAGAGAAAGACAAGTATCACATGATCTCACTTATACGTGGAATCTAATGAACAAAATAAACTGTTGAACAGAATAGATTTAGAGACACAGAAGCATGGAACGGAATGCAGAATCTCAGAGGGAAGGCAGGGGAGAGTGGGTGAGTGGGAGGTAATCAACCAAAGACCTTGAATGCATATATGCATGGTACATGAACACAGACAATGGGGTGGTGGGGGGTGGGGGCGGACTGGAGGGGGTCAATGAGAGAAAAAAGAGGGACATATGTAATACTTTCAACAATAAAGAATTATTAAAAACAAAACAACAACAGAAAAACACACACAGCTTTGCTTACACAAAGGTATATGAGCTTAACCTAAGATTATGATGAATTGATACTAAGATGGAACTAATGGATTCATCCAAACCTCCTGGATAACAATAATAATAGCTCTTATAATAATTATTGGCTGTAATATTTATGCAGGTTTTACCCTTAGCCAGGCACGCTACATATATTATCTCATATGCTACTATTGTTATAATTCACATTTCACAGATGAGGAAACTGAGGCTTAAAGAGTTGAAGTAATGTGCCCAAGACCAAGTCATAGGTCAGATTTCAAACTCAGAACTGGTTACTACCTCTTAACCACTGTTCGTTGGAAGCCAGGACTGACACTCCCAGGCTCGCTCACACTCCAACCCTCTGCATTTTAAGTTATATCTAGTTTGGTCCTGGACATTCAGTTCAACCGGAAACTGCTGGCTAGAGGGCAGTCTTCCACAGGATGCAATCCCCAAGGTGCTCCACAACAACACTATTATTAAGAGAACCCACGGGAATCGTTTCAAGAACCAAAAGTCAAAGGGGAGAAAAGCATGGTATTTTGACTAAAGAGAAAGACCAAGGATTTGGTTTGTGATGCTTCTTTAGATTCTTCTAGAGGTCAGGAGTTAGACTTTCTGATTCTGTGAAGTGTAATATCAGATGATACTTATATGTTCTAGAATCTGGAATCCAGTTTTGTCCCGGTTTGGCTCTCCTGAGCTCTATGGCTTTAGGTCTGGTGTGGGATGGAATAGAGCAGCCTACGGTGGCCCAATCCTGGAAACTCATGTTCCCCTCAATTCATCCTTAGGCCACATCATAGTCTTTTTTTCCCCTGTCTCCACATTCCGCTGTCAAAGCTCTTCTGGAGTGGATCTGTGCACAGAACAGGCACCAAACTAGTATTTGTTGAATCAGTGGAGGAAGTAACACAAAGGAGCCTTAACTTACAAAGTGGGGCAAGCTAGATAAAGAAAGAAGGAGGACATTTCAAGTAGAGAGAACAACATGTATAAAACCTGGGTAATGTGCCCTGGCCAGGTGGTCAGTTGGTTCAAGTGTCGTCCCATACACCAAAAGGTTCTGGATTTGATTCCAGGGAAGGGCACATATCTGGGTTGTGGGTCAATCCCCAGTCAGGGCAAGTTATGGGAGGCAACCTATCAATGTTTTTCCCACATTGATGTTTCTCTCTCGCTCTCGCTCTCTCCCTTCCTCTCTCTAAAAATTCAACAAAAACATATCCTCAGGTGAGGATTAATTTTTAAAAAACGGGGTGATGGGAACTGCAATGGCTGGAGTAAAGGCCGTGAGATATAATGGGAAGGTTGTGCAGCTTAGTCACAGCTATGAGCCGTGACGCTGGAGCCTGCAAGTTTTGGGTTGAATCCTGGCTCTCACCAGCTGTGTCTTTGGGCAAGTTATATAACCTCTCTGTACCTATCTTATGGTATGTTAGAAAGATTAAATGAGCTATAGCATAAGAAGTGTTTGGAACAGTCCACTAAATGTGAATTCCTATGATTCTCGTGGGCGAGTAGTGGGTGGTGGGGTAGGCAGGGGACAGGTCCTGGAGTTTCCTATGTAAAAAGGGAGAACATTTATGCCAGAAGCCATGGAGAATTTTTGAAGGTTTGTAGGAAGTGGGGAGTCAGGGTGTGATTTGAATTTTGGAAAGGTAATTCTGAGACGGGTAGAAGGAGACTAAACTAAAGACAGGAAGACCAGTGAGGCGGCCATTGCAGTGCTCCAGATGAAGAGGATAAAGACTTAAACCAAGTGAATTCCAGGTGCAGTGGAGAGGGGAGGGAGCCGCTCAGTGAGAGGTAGCAGGTCTAACTACAGGAGTCGGCCCTGACCATGTGAGAGGGAGGCTGAATCTCAGTGTCAGGTGGGGCTTCGGGGTGGTGAGGGTAGCAATCAGAGAGTGGGAACAGTAGGAATGAGCTGGGTTTGCAGGAAGAGGAAGAGTTTCATCTTGTTCATGGTGTCTTAATCTTGGACATGTTGAGTTTGCAGAGAACAGCCAAGCACCAATGCCTAGTAGGTGATGGATGAACAGGTTTGGTAATTCAGAGAGATATCAGGCCTCTGATAAGAACTCTAAACATTATTAAGTGAAGCTGTTTACACTTCTGGGCTGAAGAACAATAATTGGGGGGGGGCGGTTATTTAAGATGCTATCTATGCCTTGATTATAGATATTAATATGAAAAAGATGAGCAAACCCCATCTGGAAAATGGGTGACATAAGGAGATTCTTTTGGCAAGTCAAGAACGTTATCATTTATTGACAGACAGTAGTGACTAAAACAAAGGCACTAACAAAATTAAAGACTCACCAATCATTGATTTATTCTTATTTTGAGGATTTTGTTAGCTGACCTTTGCCTGGCCTTTGGCTGGAACATATAATATATATTGACATTATTTAAACATGTGGATATGGGTGCAAATCTTCACATATGTGTGTGTATATGTGATGTGTTTGTAATTTTACAATTTTAGGTATTCAGCAACTTTACCATGCCTCTGCAATTTTTCACATTTCCCCCGCAGGTATTTCTGATGAATACATAACACCGATGTTTAGTTTTTACAAAAGTGTGGCAGAATTGAAAATGACTCAAGAAGAGTATGCTCTGCTTACAGCAATTGTTATTCTCTCTCCAGGTAATTTTGATGTTAGATTTTCATTTTTATGCTATTTGTTCATTTTTCCAGTATAATCATAATAACGTTTATTAAAGAAAATCTGAGAAACACAGAAACAGAAAAAAATAAAAAGGCCTATAATCCCACTGCTTCAAACTGAATCATGTTAACATTTGAGTGTATTTCTTCTCAGCCTTTCTTCTAAACTTCACTTTCATTCAGTAAATGCATTTTTAATACCTACTATATGCTAAACATGGTTCTAAACATTGGGGAATATAGAGGTAAAGAAACAGGCAGGCCACAGCTGCATGGAGCTTACTACATTCTAGTGAGGTAAGAAAAACAACAAATAAAAATAATTTGTAGTGATTATTGAGGTGGCAAGTGCTACAAAAATATAAAGATGAGACTATAAGGAGAGAAAGTGGCAGTAGAATGTTATTTTAATTAGTAGTCAAGTAAGGTTTTTTTCCAGGGATTATTGAACAGGAGCCTAAATGAAATTATGCACATACTTTTTAACATAATAGAAAGCATACTGTCTTTTAAATTTTATTTTATTCATTTATTTTTAGCCCATGTCACACCTATCTTAGTTTTTTTAAAAATATATTTTATTGATTTTTTACAGAGAGGCAGGGAGAGAGACAGAAACATCGATAAGCTGCCTCCCGCACACCTCCCACTGGGGATGTGCCCGCAACCCAGGTACATGCCCTTGACCGGAATCGAACCCAGGACCCTTCAGTCCACAGACCAACGCTCTATCCACAGAGCCAAACCGGTTTCAGCTTAGTTTTTTAAAAAAAATATATGTTTTAATTGATTTTTAGAGAGAGAGGGAGAGAGATAGAAACATTGATAAGAGAGAAACATCATTGATCAGCTGCTTTCTGCAAGTCCGTGCTCTCCCCTCCCCTCCCCCGCCCCGGGGATGGAGCCTGCAACCTGAGCGTGTGCCCTGATGGGGAATTGAACCAGTGACTTCTTGGTTCATGGATTGGCACTCAGCCACTGAGCCATACCAGCTGGGCTATTTTATTTTTTTAATCCTCACCTGAGTGTATGTTTTACAGATTTTTAGAGATAGGGGAATTGGGGGAAAGAGAGAAAGAGAGAGAGAGAGGGAGAAAAGAGAGAGAGACATTGATGTATGAGAGAAACATTGATCAGTTGCCTCCCACACAGGCCCCCACTGGGGATTGAACCTGCAACTTAGGTATGTGCCCTGACCAGGTATTAAACCCACAACCTTTAGGTGCATGGGAAGACACTCCAACCAATTGAGCCACACCATAATGTCATGTTTTAAAGTACTTTTCTTCAAACATTTTTCCCTATGTCATTAAAAAAAATTATACTGTAAAGGTTTATTGTAATGCATGCATCATATTCCATTGAATCGATGACCAATAATTTACTTAATTTTTGCCATATGTTTGGACATTCAGAATACTTCCAATTTTTTGTTGTTCTAAACAATGTTGAAATGAATGCCTCTGTATATGTACTTTTCTATTTTTTGCTTATTTATTTGGGAGTAAGTGATGCCACATTCAGAATTTGTGACCTGAAACCATTTTATGTATGATATTAATTAAGTCAGAAGCTAGTTGTTACTTTGTTGTACCATAACAAATTATAATTAAAAAGAAGAAAAACATTTCTTCTTTTATTGATTTATATTTTTTATTGGTTTCAGAGAGAAAGAGAAAGAGAGAGGGAGAGAGAAATATCAATGATGAGAGAGAATCATTGATCAGCTGCCTCCTGCATACCCCATACTGGGGAATGAGCCCACAACACGGGCATCTTCCCTGACAAGGAATTGAACCGTGACCTCCCGGTTCATAGGTTGATGTCCAGCAACTAAGCTACATCGGCTGGGCAAGAAGAAAAACATTTTGGCAATATCTACTAAAGTGTTACATGTATAAACCCTACATCCCAAGTTCCAGTCCTTGGGTTATACCCACCAGAAATGATACTTATGTTCACCATACATGCTACTTTGGGGGCATTAATTGAAAGGGGAATTTAGGGAGGCCTGTAAATGTTCTATATCTTGATATATTTGTGATTATATGAGTACATGTGAGTGTGTGAAAATTCATCAAGTTGAACACTTCATTTGTACATTTCAACTGTACGACATGTGTGAGTTACACTTCAAAAAGGTTAGCCTTGCCTGGCCAGCATGGCTCAGTGGTTGAGTGTCCCCTAGGAAACAAGAGGTCACGGTTCAATTCCTGGTCAGGGCACATGCCTGGATTGCAAGCTTGATCCCCAGTGTGGGGCATGCAGGAGGCAGTTGCTAAATGATTCTCTCTCATCATTGATGTTTCTATCTCTCTCTCTCCTTTCATATGTATATATATATATATATATATTCTAAAGGTTAGCCTTAATATAATTATGCCAAACCTTCCACTTTTTAATTTTATTTATTTTTAAAAATATC